ATATAGTGACAGACATGTTCCCACCAGTACTGTACCCTAGTGTTATACAATGTCAGACCTGTCTTTCCAGTGCCATGCCCCAGTGTTATACAATGGCAGTCTTGTCCCCACCAGTGCTGTATCCCTGTATTACACAATGACAGACCTGTTCCCACCAGAACCATGCCCCAGTGTTATAAGTGACAGACTGATCCCCACCAGTACAGCAACCCATGTTATTTTGGTCAAGTCCCAAGTTTGCAGGGACAAAATATTTAATTATTCTTGTTTTTTCCTTCATGCTGAGTGAACCTGGGTCGAAAGTTGCAACAACCCTATGTTACTATGTAGCGAAGAGACGGAGATGTTTAACTGCCTGCAGCTGACACAGGCTTCTGCAAGCATTGGAAATGTGCTGAAATCCCAGGCTGCACTGTGGTTTACTCACCCTCTGCAGACATTCCAGGATGTTTTGATACATCTGATAGATCTGTTTTGCAACCTGCACTTTGGTATCCATCTTCTCTATTTTATTCTCAATCTGACGAATGATCTATAAACATAAACAGGTTTTAGTGCTTCTTATACAGAGAAAAGAAGCAACTGGAAATAGTGAGGAAAAGAAAGGCGGTTTGAAGTGTGGTAAGGGAGATTCTGGGTATCAGCTGAGAAGATTGAAAAATTGAGGAGTTGTCCTTTTGATACTTTGGCAATCAGGATTCAGAATAGTTTTTGCTGAGCAAAGGCTTTAGGGATTACAGCACCAAAGCAGGTGGAATAACAATACAGATTAGCCTGATCTCTGTAAATGGCAGACAGGGCTAGGGAGCTGAATGAAAAATTCTGATATTAACATTATCACATGTCTACCAGTTATCAGTAGCTGAACTTGAAAGTACAAAGGACAGAATGCCAGGCATTAACACCATTTGGGCAGGTAGCATGGGCAGCAGCGGCTGGCAGTGGACAGTCAGGATGGTTGTATTTCAGGTGTGCAGTTCATGTACTTTGTTGTGAGAATGGATATATACTTGAATACATACAAACATATTAAACTTAAGCACAGCATTTTTCAAAACAAAAAGGACGTACAAGCCAAAAAATGACTGACAGTATAAATTCAGTAACTGTCTGGGAAATCCCTGTGCAGATTATTCACATTCCATTGGAATATTGCACCTGAAGAGGGACAAAGAATCTTCAGACAGAAACACTTGAAAGGGAGTGATACCATTCAAAAACTAGACAGTGATCTCCTGTGGGTACAGAGATTATTACGGGTTAATAAGTCATAGTAAGAGTAGTGTGTGCAGCTGTGGAATCTCACATTATAAAAATTATGTGATTGCACTGGACAGGGTGCGAGGAGTTTTATCAGGATGTTGCCTGGGCTTCAGAGTTTTAGTTATGAAGAGAAATTTGATCGACTTGGGTTACTTTCCTTGGAGCAGAGGAGAAGAGGGGGAGACATGATTGAGATGTTTAAAATGATAAGGTGCATGAACAGGGTAGACGGGAAGAAACTCTTCCCCTTTGTGAAAGGATCAATGATTGGGGGCACAGATTTAAGATAAGGGGCAGAAGATTTAGTGGAGATGCCAGGAAACATTTCTTCACCCAGAGGGCGATGGGAATCTGGAACTCACTGCCTGTAAAGGTGGTGGAGGCAGAAACCCTCATAACATTTATGATGTATTTAGGATGTGCACTTGCAATGCCAAAGCATACAAGGTTATTGGTCAAGTGCTGGAAAATGGGATTAGAATAGTTAGGTAGTTGATTTTGATTAGCACTGATTTGATGAGCCGAGGGACCTTTTTCTGTGCTGTAGACGTCTATGACTATGAATGCCTCTCTCAGCAGAAAGTCAACTTCTATGGTTTGTTTCCCAGACTGTAGACATGAGAAAGGTAGATCAGGGCAAAAGGTATCTTTGTGTTTTCCTTTTCCAAGAATACACAAGAAACAGGATTTAATACCATTTGCAATCCCTGGTTTTGGTGTGTTAGAGCAGTTGTTCCCAACCTTTGCAGTATCAAGGCACACTTCAATGAGACAAACAATTTCATGGCACAACCACTTTTCCAAGCTAAATTGATTGCTCCTAAACATTACACTGACTGTAGTTATTATGGCTGGAGTCTTTCTAAAGAAGTTTGCGTGATATCAACGGCTGCAAAGGTGGATGAAGACTGCAGCAGTTGGGAGATCCCCAGTATCAATACTTCCTTGCCAGTGGAACTGGATTGACATTCTGCCAAGGGCCGAGTAGCCCTACAGTGACTGGCCAGAGGTGACAGGGACAGGACTGACAGATCTGGAAGTCCCTAACTTTGGACTGGCACGTAGGCAACAGAGTTTAGTTCAGTTTCGTTCTTGAAACAAGAACAGGAGAATGTTTCGGCAGCTTTCTTTACAACTGAGCAGCCCTCTTCAGGGTCCACTCTGCTCGCGCTGCATGCGAAAAGGGCTAGAAGAGGTGCTGTAAAAATATTTTGTTCCATCACCAATCTGTCTTGAAAACCACATCCAGCGGACTCCTCTACCTGCAGTCTGAAAACCAAAGTCAAATTCATTCTCAAAACCTGGAATATACAAACCCTCATGTATAATGAGTGAAACAATCATCTGGAATGAAGAACTACCCTTGTAGACTGTGAACGCAGGCACTTCAACACTGATATCACTGTCCTGCAGGAGACTTGAAGAGCAGGCGATGGACAGCAGAGGGAAAAAGGTGGTGGTTACATCTTTTTCCGGAGAGGAAAAACTCAGGATCAAACAGGACGTGTGGAATTGGTTCACTATCAAGAATGAACTCATGAACCAACTCTCATACTCCCTGTCGGCATCAATAATCACCTCATGAGTTTGTCTACAATTTGCCAAGAACCAACAGGCAACAGTTGTGACTGTCTATGCACCTGTGTTTGATGCTACAGTTGAATCCAAAGAAGGCTTCTACTCCACCCTGTGGAGGCTTCTACTCCACCGGCATCCCAAAAGGAAGATAAAATTATTTTCCTTGGACACTTCAGCTCCAGGGTTGGAAAGTACCTGTAAAGGAATCATCAGAAAGGAAGGGTACTGAATTGCATCTCCAATGGGATTCTCCAAATCACAAAATGCACAGAACACCAGCTGGTCTTCACCGACATACTGTTCCATCAAAAAAAATCAAGTTCAAGACTCCATGGAGGCATCCATGATTGAAGCATGGCACAATGAAGGCAGTGTTTGATATGCTTGCCTTTATTAGTCAGTGCACTGAGTATAGGAGTTGGGAGATCATGTTGCGGCTGTATAGGTCATTGGTTAGGCCACTTTTGGAATACTGTGTGCAATTCTGGTCTCCCTGTTATAAGAAGGATGTTGTGAGACTTGAAAGGGTTCAGAAAAGATTTAAAATGATGTTACCATGGTTGGAGGGTGTGAGCTATGGGGAGAGGGTGAATAGGGCTGGGGCTATTTTTGCCTAGAGTGTCGGAGGCTGAGGGATGACCTTATAGAGGTTTATAAAATCACGAGGGGCATGGATAGGGTAAATAGACAAGGTGTTTTCCCTGGGGTGATGGAGTTCAAAAACTACAGGACACAGGTTTAAGGTGAGAGGGGAAAGATTTAAAAGGGACCGAAGGGGCAACTTTTCACGCAGAGGGTGGTGCATATATGGAATAAGCTGCCAGAGAAAGTGGTGGAGGCTGGTACAATTGCAGCATTTAAAAAGCATCTGGGTGGGTATATGAATAGAAAGGGTTTAGAGGGATATGGGCCAAATGCTGGCAAATGGGACTAGATTTATCTAGGATATCTGGTTGGCATGAACGAGTTGGACCGAAGGGTCTGTTTCCATGCAGTACAGCTCTATGACATGATCAACTACATCATCATTCAATACTGAAACTGAAAGGATAACCTCATTACCGAAACAAAGACCAGTGCAGATGACTGCTGGAGAAACCGTCAACTCATCCACTCCTCAATGTCCATCAAATGCTACCAAAAGCAGCTAAAAACAAAGAAATTGTTTAGAATCAAACTCAACACTGAGGGGCTTCAAGGGCAGAGCTGACTAGTGAGCTTCCAACAGTATCTTCACTAAAATCTCCAAAGAGTTTATTTTAATGGAGTGGAAGAAATCTGGAAAGAGCTGAAGACAGTCATCGTCTAATGACATAAAGAAACCGTTAGCTACAAGACCAGGAAACACCAAGACTGGCTCAACAAGAATGACCACATCATCCAAAACCTCATTCACAAGAGCAGGAAAGCTCTTCATGCCTGGTAAAACAAAAACACGAGTGAGGTAAAGAGGAAAACTCATCACACAACAAAGCCGTAGTTACAAAAAAAAAGCAAAGGAAATCAAGAACCAATAGTGGACTGAGAAAGTTAATGAGCTGCAACTTCTTACGGATAAGCACAATGCCTGGGGTTTCTTTAATACCACCAACGCAGTAATATAGACCCAACATTCTTGGCCTCAAACTGGTGCATAGTAAGGACCACACCCTTTTGAGAGACAGAAAAAACCTCAGCCTCTGATAAAGGGAACACCTCAAAGAACTCATAAACCGCAATACAATGGTTGATGAGAATGTGGTTGAGGAAATCTCCTAACACCCCTTGAAAAATGATCTTGGACTCCCACCTACTGTGGCAGAAATTGAAGCCCCCATTAGACACATGAAGAATGGAAAAGCTGCAGGAGTAGTTGGAGATTTTCAAACTTAGAACAACAGATCTTAACCATCATCTTCATCAACTGTTCCTGAACTGGGACAAATAAGAAACCCCTGTTGACATCAGGGATGCTGATATCTTCGATGCTGATATCTTCAAGAAAGAAGCCAAACTGGACTGTGGGGAAATACTGAGGAATCTCCCTACTCTCCATCACTGGGAAGATCATTCCCTGAATCCTTGGTCAGCACCTGCTCCCTGTCTAAGAGAAAATTATTCCAGAAAGCTAATGTGGCTTCTGACCAAACCATTAAACTATGGAGATAATTTTCACTGCTCGGCAACTCCAAGGAACAACACCAAACAAGCTACATGGCCTTCATCGATCTGACCAAGGCTTTAGACTCGATCAATCAGGAAGTGCTATGAAAAACCCTGTCAAAGACCAGCTGTCCAGTGAAATTCATCAACGTTCTCCATCTCCTCCATGATGTCGAAAATGGTCCTCAATTATGATAATATATTAGAATCCTTTAGATCAAGCAGGGCTACGTCATCATCCCGCTCCCCCTGCTTTTCTCTACCTTCATCACAACCATTTTTCATCTTGTCAAGAACAAGTTTTGCAGTGGTGTGAACATTGTCTGTAGGATAGACAGAAAACCTTTAACCTCAACCAGTTGCAATCCAAGAAAAAATGACACCAACCTCACTTCTGGAACTTCAGTATGTGGATGATGACATCATTTCCACTCTCAGAAGAGAACCTTCAAGCCTTGCTTTACACCTTTGTGGAGGCATACCAAAGAATTGGTGCCAGCCTCAACATGAAGAAGACTCAAATCCTTTACCAACCTGTCCCCAGTCAAA